CCCCAAAACCCCAAAACCCCAAAACCCCATGATTATAAGAATTTAACTAAATTGTCAATGAAATAGTAATAAAATTGGTAATCATGGATAAAATTAATAACGAAAGTCCAGTGCAACTCAGATAGTAGAACACAAACAAAGGTTAAGAGACTAAAAATGTATCTCCAAGGCTTGAGCTAATTGAAAACAATAAGATAAGCAATGTATTATCACCCTAAAATTAAAGTAGAAGAGAAAGTCTTATTAAGGATGTGAAGGCTGAAACCAAGACTACAGATAAAAAATAATATATAAATTAAAATGTAACGATAGGTTTAGAATAAGTAAAAAGAGTTAATCCTATAGCAGGTCCAGCATCTACCTCAGATAACTAACAGACGAATAGATCCTCTTTAAAGGCTTCTTAAGGAGATGAAAAATATAGTAAATTAAAGCAGTTTTAAATGGCTGGATAGCTTTAGTCATTTGATATAATTTGGTTTGATCTAGTAACAAAATCTAGGTCTTTAATCTAAGAAATAACTGAACCATTGATTGAGAGATAGCATGATATGCGAGATAAATTACAGCAGACTAATAGAATAATCGATGATTAGGATAGAAGAATCAAAGACATGGAATATATAGTACTTTAGAAAGGAAATAGAATAGATGTGTTTGAATAGTTTCAACAAAAGATAGAATAAGTTGTAAGTTTTAGATTTATCTGTTAATTATTTCAAAGGACTAAAGAGGCAAAGAAATGAATATTGCTTTGGATTTAAAAATTACAAAAAGCGATCAGAAAATGGAGGAAATATCATTTAAACTTGCTAATTATGAGAAAATTATGAAATCCTTGGTATGAATATCAATATGAATAATAATTATTAAAGTAAACGCATAATGATGAGGTATTGACTGAACTGGTTGGATTGAAAGTTAAAATGGATGATTAATATAAGTAATTTATTGATGAGCTCACATCGAATCACAATTAAAGCCTAAAATAGATTGAGAAACTGAGAGAAAAGATTTCAGAGCTAGATTATGAAGTGAACATTAAAACATAAAGGCTTTACACTTAAGAAAATAACATCTAAGAGATATTTGAGTGATTAGATTAAGCAGAAAAAACAATAACAAAATTGAACACCGAAACTTTAAATCTGTCAGACAATAAGTTAGACAGAGTTTTGTTTGAAGTTGAAAAAGTCGTAGTATGGGACAAACTTGAGAGTCATACAACCAGATTGTTTGAGGCAGAAAATAATAATCATACTCTGCATAATTACGTTGACAAGTATCAACAAATTAGATTCTAAAATTAATTGACTGATACATTAATGGGAGTCCTGAGTTAAAAAGAGAGAAGGAGATTAGAGAATTATGATTCAGATAAAATGCCTTTGCTTTATAAAATTGCACTAGAAGATAATGGGCAGATAACTAACATTTAGAAAATGATAATCTAGTTAAACGAAAAAGCAAAAAGAGAGACTGAGGAAGAAGAGAAGAAAAAAAAGAGAAGGAACATTGCCTCAGAAGCATCAAAAAGTTAATCAGATGTTAACAGTACAGTTGGTGGTGGAGAATTTTAATTCAATAAAAAAGGTCATAGTATAGGAGGCTAATCAAAAAGAGGTACTTCATAATTTAGAAATACAATACATACTGAGGAAGGCTTTGAAATCAAATCTGAGGAAAGTGAAGTTGATGAGGGAAGATAAAGCGTTGCTGAAATGGATGATGGGATATCAAGAAAGAGAAGTGTTATCAATAAAACACCAAGGACTGCATTACACAAAGGTTCCTAATGGGGTTAATAATCAAAAGCAACAGATGATAACTACAACTATAATCTGGTTGATCTGATTTAATCAGATTTCAGCATTTAAGAGGATGATGATGATTTTGACTTGACTAATGAATAGCTTATAAAAATCATGAAAATGTAATTTATTGATTATCTGTTACTATCCTTTTTAGATTTCTTTACAAGATGAATCTAACAAGTAAAAAAATAGAATTTGTAAAGCAAGATTTCAATAAAACCATCGAGAATGCTTAACAGTAAAACTAATTTTATACAAAATCAACATTTGAAGAGATATCATAATTCATCCATACTCTTCATTCAGATTTTGAAAGTTTCCTGAAGAAGCATAAAAAAGAGCATTCTGAAATAGTATAAAAAGTAAATTCAATTGACTAGAAAGCTAACTAAGCAGACTTATCTTCTTAAGATATAAGATAAAGTGTAGAATCCTACTCAACTATGCTTTCATGTCTTGTGGAATTTTGTAATATTGAATAAGCATTAGCTCTTTAAGATGAGTAAGATAGACAGAAAATCTAATTAATAGGTTCTAAAAGTACATTAAAAGGTGAAAAGCCCTCAAATGACTATAATCAATTACAATAATAGTTTTAAGGATTTGGAGGAATCAACTTTAATGCATCATTGAATCAAGGAATGTCAATTGGAGGTACAACAACAAATATTCATAACAACTTTGGAATCAAATCAACATATAGGTCTAGAATGTCTAACATTAAAATTAAGAATGCTTCGAACGTATAAAATGATGAATTTCTCTAAAGTCTAAGTGTCAGAGAGGAAAGCTAGCCAGATCTTAATGATATTACTATGCAGGGGTAAACAAACAAAAATGTGATTGAGATTGATAAAAACTGTCTTGCATGCTAAGGATAGTCATCACATATAATTCAGCAATTCAAGATGGCTTGCTTGTCTTACACTCCAAGTCTTGTTGTATATAGAAATGAAAAGTTTAGCAGATAAAGTCTTATGCAAATGCGAAATATTTTGATGTAAAAATGTGAGGAAGTTATTAATGAGAACTATCTACTTTTTAAAGACAGGGGTTTATAAACATAAAAAGTATTTAAAGATCTGGTTTAATACTTCTAAGGCAAAAATATTACAGATGGGCAGTTTATAGCTCATGATGGGAAAAAAAACAGGGAAAAATTGAACAAGAGTATGATAATTAACATGAAGGCAGGACAAAATGAAGCATCAAGAAATTTCTCTCAAAGTAGGAATATTCCAGGTACAGTTAATTCTAGTGGCTTACATAGTTAGCTAGGATAAAATGCACCCTCTCTCTACTAAACTCAGAAGACTGCAGACCCTGAGAGTAACATAAGACTTTTTAAGCTAAGATAGAATAACAATTAGCATTATGAGACAATGATTCCACAAAATACTAGTAAATCATCTAAGTCACAATAAAGAAGGTAAAGCAACAAGAGTAACATTAATAATTTGAACAATAATTAAGGTGATAACCCATTGGATGAGGTTAAAACTATAGGGAAAAATGATGATAAAAATCTGACTTTCCATAACAGATTTGCTTCTCTTTAAGTTACAAATCATGAGCTTAACTTGCCTTCTATTAACCTAATATGATGATTGAAGTTATTATGGATCTAACTTAATTTCATAAATCAATAATCTTTCTACTATTGATTTTAAACATTAATTCTTAACATCCATTCTAGGGGTTTTGGGGTTTTGGGGTTTTGGGGTTTTGGG